CGTTACATTTAATTCATAAAAAAAACACACGCAGGGAGATGAATTTTTCATTAGGCGTATCATCAGATTGAGCAGGAAAGAGGAGGGGAGGACTTCCAGAGCCGTGTGCTGGGCCACTGGGAAGGAACTGTAGTCTCCATCAGAGTCTCTGCTGCTGTCTACACACATGAATAATACAAGACAGCAGGCAGGGAGAGCATCACTAACGAAGCGCCGGGTGCTTCAAGGTGAAATGACAAGGACTAGCTCTCAGGGCACTGCCTTACCCCAGGAATCTACTACCGCGGAGGATCACTATGGAAACTCAGGCAGAACGGTGGCAGAGAAATGCACATGAAAAGAAGTGCACATCCGTAGTACAGCATTTAGAGTTCAATAAATCAGTACGGAAAACTAGGCAGAATGGCTGAAGAGGTGTGCGAGTACGGCGCTGGACTGCATTCTCCCCCAGCCGGCCGCTACACTCCAAGCGCCGCTGCACGCATCGACGGTGCTCGTCTCAATGAAAGCACTTTCCCAGTTGCCTGTTCAATACAACAACGACACCTGTCCAGACCCCAGGGCCAGGGACGAGGAGCAAGCATCGATTTCGGGGCCAAGACGCCAGAAAGGCACAGGGAGGTCTGGGGCCGCACGACATTTGTCTCCAATCAAAAGAAAAATTCACGCAAAATCTAAATATTATTTCTGGCCTTATAAAACAGAAAACTTTGTATAATTAAGTTCCATTCAGAATTATGCAAAGTTCATCACAACATTGGCAAAAAGTGTTTGGTTTTAGATATTTCAAAGACCTACAAATGCCATACACCTTTCAAAACATTTTATCTGGGCGATACTTGTCAGAACGGCACGACTCTACCTACAGTAGCTTGCTAACCACAGACAGCAAAAGATCAGTAGTTGAATAGCAGTAAGGGTGGACAACAAAACACTGTTTTCTGTGTACAGTTTGCACAATTCCAACCTGCCCCAAAGCTACCGTATCTCTGCAGCACATACGTGCTACTTGTTTGTGCTGTGAATTACAGTCCACTGTCAGTCAGACTTTGAAAAACACGTGCTGCGTGCAAACCTAAACACACACCCAGTCCTTACCACAAGCACAAGGCCTCCAGCTTCAGAGTAAGCCCGGCTCAAGACTCTGGTGGGCCAGCAGGCATATAAAATTCCACTATAAAACAATCTCCCTTTAAAAATGCTTCAGTGTTTAAACTTCAGATGCCACAAGGGACAGTTTTGGGCTCGTTAAAGAGAAGGCATTAATTAGAATGATCTTTTCTATCCTCTCATCTGGTGTTGCAATTCCCTCTCCTTTTGTCAGAGAAAAACACTAAGCAACTCCGACATTTAGGCTACAGGATTAATCAACCTTTTTTTAATTAAGCCAAATATTAATCCCATGACACACAGAAATACAAAAAGCATGCAAGACCTTTATAAATACTTATACAGGAATATAATAAGACAACCTTCATGCTTTTTCTATATAAAATGCAGGCATTCTTGAGAATTTGGGCAAAACATGTCCTACCAATAAAGTCTACTAAAATGGCTGAAAAATGAATAAATACATGTTATAAATGGTTTTAAATGACTAATTAGATGCATCTATATTAATTTATCCTACTTTATGGGGTAATTTATTTGTTTGTATTTCATAATCAAGGAGAACCTTAAATGGCCCTTTCCTATACCAGGGTACACAATTTCAAAATGGAAAAAAATAAAAATCTTTTGAAACAATGAAATACCTACACAGACTGATAGGAAGAACATAGAAATGTTTATATTTAGCCATATTTGATAGAATTCTTTTTTTCTGTAAATGCTGTCTCTCAAAAGCGTCAAGACCGTCAGATTTTTACAAAAGTCTTATAAAATCTGGAATAAAATGGTCGCTGTATGCAAAGGGCCCCTTTCCAACTTCCTTGTTTCGTTGTGTGTGACATCTCCTTAATTTTTTAAAAGGTCATGTCACAACCATAAGATGTCAACTCCATTGTCTTTTAGATAAAAAAAAGTAATATATCATGCATTAAAAATGTTTGTATTACATTAGTTCGAAGAGACCTTTTCATAAACAGGCTAAAACAAAATGGCTACTCTGTAGATTACATATGTGAGAAAAACAAACGTAATTTTGTCAACTCCGTACAAAGTCAACTCCTTCAGATATTTTGTCTTACAATGACACTTTTATCAACTATAACTGTAATATGTTATTCAAATCAGCTAAGGATCTTACCTAAAACTGTTTAGGTTTTTTTACAACATTTATTTGTTGTGGATTAATAAAAACAGCAAATAAGACTAGTCCTACTTTTAATGTACTACACAAGCCAAGAGAAGACAGCATTCTGCACTGTAACTGAATTGAAGCGACAAGATGCTCCAGCAGTTCAGGCCTACATGAAACCAGTGCCGAGAGAGATCTGTGACAAGTATCCGTTAGTTCATACGGTGCGCGTTTGGTCCGATGGTCCAAGCAAACAATATAAAAACAAGAAGAACTTTTATCTCCTGTCTGACGTGTCTTTCAAACTGGGATTCAAAAGAGCATCATGGAACTTCTTCCCCACTTCAAATGGTAAGGGGCACCAGACGGGATTGGTGCAGCACTGAAGAGGGCAGCACATACCCTAGTGCTTAGAGGCCCATGATGTCCCACAGCGTTCCACAAAGAAGTGTCTGCAAGCTTGCACAATGTCACACTGTATCTCGTTGTAGGAAAAGAGATTGAGACATTTGAGAGGCTACTCTCACCAAGTCTAAAATGTGGTGCTTTCATGGTTTTTGCAGTGAGCCAAGGCTACGCGAGCGCTTTAGCCCAAGCCTATCTTCTTTGAACTCTGAGGCACGCCACTTAGATGCACAGTGACATCCCTCTAACACAATGGAAACCACCATGAGCCCTTTGTCACAATTAATACAAGAAATGGAAGAAGAACCTATGTCTGGTCTTGAAGGCACATCATCAGAACCTGCTGATAACCTTGGATGTGGAGACTGGATAGCAGTGGTGTATGATGACCACTGGTGGCTGTGCAAAGTCCTTGCTGTGGATTCTGATCATCATGATGTGGAAGTAAAACGTTTACACCCAAATGGGTCCAAATGCCCATTATCAAAAAAGACATGGGAAAGAAGACGCATTTTTCTGTCCACTTGGTGACATCTTGGTAAAAATGACAGGAAACACAGCTCTCACCCATATAAGCAGAACAAGAGACATTTACAAACGTTCTCCAGATATGGACTTTATTGAGAGGGAACTTGCCAGTCACCTACTACCCAGTAAATAAAACAGAAACCACATATCACATGCCAATGAAGAAAATGTATGTATTTTGAAACTAAAATCTAGTTCTTGTTAAATCAAGTTCTGTTTGTGATGGTTTTTGTTTTGCTGGAAATTTTGGGGAGGAACATGTCAGTCACCTATGACCCAGTAAATAAAAGATAAACCTCATACTACCTGGTAATAAAGAAATTCAGATGTATTCTAAAACTTAAATGGTTTCTGTTTTAGTTGGAAAGTTTGCTAGTTTTAGCAAATTAGTCTAGTTTTTGATGTTCTAAGAAGAAAATTAAAATTTTTAAAATCTATTCTCAACTCTATGACTTACTGGTCAACTCCGTCATTAAACAATTACCTACATCAGAGGTCTTTTTCCCCCCAATATTTTCTAGAAAATGATACAGTATTTACCACTGCAATATAATTTTTATTTTGATGAAAAACTTGCCTTTCACTACTGAAATGTAATCAAAGTCTGTAAAGAAAATAATTGGCACAATATGATTTCTTGCTGATTATCTTTCTTGAAATAAACCTTTACAAATATTATGACAGAATATTTAATAAAAGAAGTTTACATTGTGTTACATTTAAGGGCTTCATTCTCTTTAGAAGGAACTATTTTAAAATACTATGCTTTATATTGCATCTGGTAGCGTTGACAAAAAAAGTCAGTGGTCAACTGCAAAAAAGGGATTTTAAGAAAAAATATTTCAAACAGGAGGCTGTTCCTTTATAAGTCTGATTGCCAAGACCCTAGTATGTTAAAACATGTAATAACATTTAGCTTAAACCAAAAAAATCTAAATTAAGAAAAAAATCTTGTTTTGCCCCACATCTCAAGAATGCCTGAGTGGTTACCTGGTCATTTTGTTTTATTCCTAATAAAGACACCATTTTCTTGTCATATTGTTAAACTCTTTCATTCTAAAGGTTTTTGTAAGATGATAGAAGACAGACGCTGTGAAAGGCAGTTTGTCCTGTTCTGGTGCTTTTGTTTGTTAGGATACAATACAGTCCATTACTGAATTCTTCACTTTACCTATGCAATGGTAACATTTCTTAAATGATTGAGTGGCAGTGGAACTCAGGGTGACTGCAAATCAAAACCTGATTACTTTAAGATACTTCGAACATTCAAGTCTGACGTACCCCAATTAAATCACAAAAAGACCTTAGACCTTTAATTCCCTGCAGATCACAACTGTACACTGTACGCACATTAAACAGTATTCATCTGGATGTGTGAAAATACTACGATGATTCTACAGCTACAACAGAGTATCTGGAAGAACAGATCAAATGATCTGACAGTCAAAAAAGCACCTTTCCACATAAACACCTTTCAATAGAATCTATTAAAATAATATCCATTTTATGAGTGCTATTCAATGCCATTCTCAGAATACCACTGTAAATAAAAACTAACACAAACAACTAACCTCTAAATTAAAACTGACTCTTAAATCAACTTGCCAGCTCATTTGCCATTTTGGAACAACTTCAGCAAAAAGGCCAACAGTTGGGTGACTGTGACAAATTCCCAGACTTTGTGCCATTAATCAAATCCAAAACAGGAAAGCTTAATTGAGCATTAACTAACCACAATGAAATTAATGATGGAGAAAGACAGCCTAATTGGACAGCCATTAAATATTTGTTCCCTCCCCCCCCACCAGTAAAGAAAACAGATACTCACTACTTTCCCGCTCCCTCTTTCCACAGATAGATGTCCCTCTTGTGCTCCTCCTGTAGTGCGATCTGAAAGGAGAAAAAGACGGCATCACATGTGTTCAGAGACCTGGAAGGTCATCGTCATGTACACATGCAAACAGGGGCAGATGAGAGCCAGTCACAGGCAGCGTCAGGAGGCATTTCCACTAAATGTCTCCTGGGTAACATCTACAAGGTTGGTTTTTTTTATTGCTTCGGCAAAGAAAAGAATTAAAAATACTATTTCCTCGAAGTCTGGACATTGGAAATAGCTGAGAGCAAAGTCAAATCTTTCTATCCCATCCATTTCATTTGCTGCACTATTACAACTGTCATGACACACTTCTCTCTCGCTGCTCTCAAGAGTGCAGGGGGACCTGGGGTAATCAGGCAGATATAGAAACAATATTTTAATAGGCCAGCGTGGAAGAAGGCCACATTAATTAATAACTAAGAATAGCAAATACCTTTGGAAATATCGTGCATGCAAGGTACACCATTGGCTACAATAAGGACAGGCACTTTATCTGTGAATGGGTCACACTATTTTGGGCAGGGAAAACAAACGAGGATATGTTTGCCTGTCATGGTGTCCTAAGTCACTCTCTTTTTTTGTATCATCTGAATATTAAAAAGGGTTACAAACAGGGCTGTGAATAGGCCAAATTTGATAGTAGCTAATTGGATTCAAGGACCTCATCTAGCCATTCCTTGAAAGAAGGCAGGGCATCAGTTTGTACTACATAGTTGGGGAGCTTGTTCCATAAAGAAGTGCCTCCTGTTCTCAAAGTTAAATGCACTTCCACATACTTTCCATTTGCCCTTTGATTTTTTTTGCCTCTTGATACTGAAGAAGTCCGCTGGGTTGACTTTGTCAAAGCCTTTGAGGATTCTGAATGCTTGGATCAGGTCCCATCACAGCAAAATAAAAAGGTTCAGTTCCTTTATCCTGTGAGTGTAGGGCATGCTATTAAACTCTGGATTGTAACCTTTGGCTCTTCTCCGGACAAATTCCAGAGTATAATCTTTTCTGCAACGTAGTTATTAACGCTATACATAAGATCTTAGGTTAATATAACAGCACCTTACTTAAATGAAAAAGCTTTTAATTATATATCCTAACATTTGGCCTTTTTTGCAATCCCATGCTGTATAGAAGATA